GATAGAGCAGACCGCCTCTCAAAAAAAAAAAAAAAAGTAATAACTTTTCACTATGTGAGCCATTTTTGTTTAGTGCATAATGTCTGCATACTCCCCAGTATCCCCTGCAGCTCCTCCACAGTTGTGGGGTCCCGCCCTACAGGAAGACAATGCATTTTAGCTCAGAGTACAGGTCTCAAAAACTTGGCTAAATATTTCCCCCTTCCACTCATACCAGTGTACAGGGAACAATAATGGATTAATGGATTAATAACCAAAGAGAGGGCAGGTAGGTCCCAACTGGCATCTGCTCCACTCGGCCCACTGGTGTCTAGACAGGGCACAGTAATAGTGTTCACCACTTCTCTTTCCCCCAAACCTCCTCTGGAAATTCCAGGCTTACCTCAATATTCCCAAGGTTCAAGTGACCAACTCAAGGGCTCAGGCTGCCGAGGCCCAACCTCACGTGCCCAGAAAGTGGACGCACCCAGGGGTTGCTCCTGGAAGGAAGGAGAAATGACGGTGAGTAGAAGCCAGTGTCAGCCGCTCTAGCTGGGCCCTCCTTCTACTGATGTCTTGACCTGCAGTCCACAGCCTCTGGGCAAGGAACTGAAGTCGTTTTGAGCCAGCAGGGTCAGACTTCTAGAAGCAGCCAGCTAAGGTAAAGGATCTGTCCTTTACTCCCTGGAAAGCAGTCTGGAGAGGTGGAACCCGCCTAGACTTCAATATCAGACAGATCTGGATTCAAATCCCAGCTCTGCCTCTCACTTACTGAGGAATCTAAACAACTCCTTTTGTTTCACTCAGCCTCCATCTTTTCATGTGGAAAAGAACTGCTTGGTAAGGTTGCTGTGGGAAGTGAGTAAAGCAATATACGTAGTGCTTAATCTCACAAACAGCAGATGCTCCAGAAATGCTCATTCTCTTGCCCACTGGTATTCCTCAGGCAGCCACCAGTCACCTTCTTCTGAAGCTGTTGGAGGGGTACGGGCAGGCAGGAAGCTCAGTCTGAACAACCCGACTTCAGACCAGCTCAGACACAAGGTGAAACAGAAACCGAAAGCTCAGAGTACATGACTTACCTCCTCCAAACCTTTGCTCCAGCCACTGCCACTCCCCAGAGAAGGCCCTCCCCATCTCCTCCCACCCACTGCAGAGAGTGCTCACATTCTCCACTGTTTATCAGACACTTGTTTCTCACTGCCTGGCACTGTGAGTTGTCGTTTATTAACTAGTTTATTGTCTTCTTTGAAAAATAATTCTTTTAAAAAAAATACCTTATCCATACACACAAAGCAGTCCCCCAATTCATGAGTGGATATGCTTGTGGTTTGTATTTGCGTTTTAATTACTAAGCAATCTGGTTCATCCCTTTGTGCAAAGCATTGCCTTAGGTTGCAGTGTAGGAAACTGTATTAGCTCATTCTCACACTGTTATAAAGAAATACCGAAGACTGGATAATTTATAAAGAGAAGAGGTTTAACTGGCTCACAGTTTCACAGGCTGTACAGGAAGCATAGTGACATCTGCTTCTGGGGAAGCCTCACTGTATTTATTTATTTGAAGGACTGATTTTTTACAAAGTGAAAACCTCTCTCATGGCCTCTTCAATGCCTCCTTGAGGTCCCCACTATTGACATTTTTATTTTTTCAGACTTTTTTCTAGGCTTATAAAGCCATAGTAATTCTTGCTCCGCCACTTACTAGCTGCATGACCTTGGGCAAGTTACCTAACGTCTCAGTGCCTTCCTCGACTCATTCATAAAGTAGCTATAGTGATTCCTGCATGTGAAGGTTATTATGAGAACGAAATGAGTTAATACATGCAAAATACTTAGCTCCTGGCATGCAGAGTAAAGACATAAATACATAATAACTAGGAACAAATATTGTTTTACATATATAGAGAGAAAGAAAGACATCACATATACCATTTTGTTTACAAAAGCAGGGTAAGTATACTGTGCCAGTATCAATCATTGTGTCGCATCTGAGCTCCAAGTCCACCCTGTTCTGTTTGGTGACACCGAGCTACATCCCATAAAAAGATCTCCTTTGCCAGGTGGCACAATTTTAGGCTTCGTCAGTAGAGGGCACCAGAGGGACGGTGCAAGGCCTAGCAGAGGACTGGGTTTCTCTTCCGGGTTCTGGTGCTTTTCTTCCTGCTCTTAACGCCATGACTGCCAGCAGCTTGTAGAACAACACCCAGTGGTGCTCACCTTCAGGGAACTTTGGCAGCCTCCCAGCGGGCAGCTTCCTGCTCACCAGCCGGGGCTTGCTGACTGCAGACAGCTTGAGTGCTCTTGTACCTTTAGCAGTTAGCCTCCTTTCACTAGTTAATAATTCTTCCTATTACATTTTCCCTTTCAAATTACTGGTGTGGTTTCCATCTCTAACTGGACCCTAACTTTAGCTCATGCTGAGTATCTATCAGATAGCTTGCAAAATTTATTTAACCATTCCCCTATTGAAGGGAAAGTGAGTATTACAGTTTCCAGTGTTCGACTGTTACACACTGTGCAGTAATGAACATGTGTTTTTCATCCACATGACTGTTTTTGAAAGAAAAAAACTCCTGGAAGAGGAATAAATCGTTCTGCCATAGGGTTGTGCATTTAAGTCTTTGAAAAATGTTGTGAAATTGCTCTCCCTATAAGGTTGCACCAATTTATCTTTCCAAAAGTAGGTGAAAGTGCCCACTTCCCCACACCCTCACCAACCATTTTTCTTTAACATGTATTAATCTTAGGGGTAGCGTCTCATTGTTTTAGTTTATTTTGTGCAGTTACTAAGGAGATTGAATATTTTTTCATAACTTTGTTGTCTATTTTTATTTCTTCTGTACAACACTTGCTCATATCCCTTATTCATTTTTTAGTTGGATTGTCACTTTTTTATAATTCATAGAAATTCTTTGTTGATTCATTCCTAAAAGTATGTGTAGTTTTACAGATTTTATTAAGGGCCTTCGTTCTTAGTTATGTAGCAAACGTTTTCCCCTGATTCATTTCATGTCTTTTTTTATGTGATAAAATATGCATAACATAAAAGTTACCATTTTCATCATCTTAAGTGTACAGTTCAGTAACATTAAGTACATTAATACTGATGTGTAACCGGCACTCATCTCCAAAATATCTTCATCTTCCTAACCTTCATTGTATGTCTTTAAATGCATTCTTTGTGTCTTATATTATACAAAAGCTTTACATTTTTATCTATTCTAATTTATCAACCTTTTCCTTTATGACTTCTGGCTTTTACATCTTGCGTAGGGAAATTTTTGCTGGTGCTGTATTTTCTATATGTTCTTTTAATGCCTTTCTAGTCTTGTTTTAACGTTTATATCTTTAAGCCATTTGGCATTTTTGTGCTGGTATGCATGGTCTGAGGTGGGCTTCTAACTTTACTTTCTTGTGGGAGGACCCGATTATCCTAATACCTTTTTTAAAAATTATCTTTTCGCTCAGTTCAGTGGCTCACGCCTGTAATCCCAGCACTTTGGGAGGCCTAGGCAGGCAGATCATGAGGTCAGGAGATGGAGACCATCCTGGCTAACACAGTGAAACCCCATCTCTACTAAAAATACAAAAAATTAGCCTGGTGTGGTGACGTGCACCTGTAGTCCCAGCTACTCAGGAGGCTGAGGCAGGAGAATCGCTTGAACCGGGGAGACAGAGATTGCAGTGAGCCAGTATCACGCCACTGCACTCCAGCCTGGGTGACAGAGCGAGACTCTATCTCAAAAAAGAAAAAAAAAAAAAATCCATCTTTTTTTTTTATTATTTTATTGTGTCACTTTTGCCAAAAAGTACCTGCCTTCTCTCCCAAAGCAGATTATCATTTCCTAGAAGGGAGGGACATTTCTTGCATCCGTAAGTTTCCTTCCAACCTGGCAAGTAGTACATATTGTACATGTTGGTTGGTGGTGTGACTGATAGGAAGTTGAATGAGAACTAGCACATTTTTAACGAAGCAAAGCAGCAGCTATCAGAACTCAGAATCAAATAAAAGCTGTCCCCCAATTCATGAATGGATATGCTTGTGGTTTGTATTTGCATTTTAATTACTAAGCAATCTGGCTCATCCCTTTGTGCAAATCATTGCCTTAGGTTACATGTAGGAAACTGTATTAGCTCATCCTCACACTGTTATAAAGAAATACCGAAGACTGGATAATTTATAAAGAAAAGAGGTTTAATTGGCTCACAGTTCCACAGGCTGTATAGGAAGCATAGTGGCATCTGCTTCTGGGGAAGCCTCAGAGAGCTTTTATTCATGGCAGAAGGCAAAGCAAGGGCAGGCATCTTACATGGCAGGAGCAGGACCAAGAGAGTGCGGAGGTGCCACACACTTTTAAAAAACCAGATCTCATGAGAACTCTATCACAAGAACAGCACCAAAGGGATGGTGCTCACCCATTCATGAAGGATCCATCCCCATGATCCAATCACCTCCACCAGGCTCCACCTCTGACACTGGGGATTACCTTGACATGTGATTTGGGCAGCACCACACATCCAAACCATATCAGAAACAGAGAATGGGTAAGATATTGTTTCTGCCCTTATGAAGTTTGTGATCCCTAAATGCCCATCACTAAGGCGCTAGTTAGAGCACTGATGATCCATACATTCAATGGCGCTGTAGCAGTCATGAAAAGGATCAAGCAGCTCTATATGTTCTGATACAGAACAGTCTCCAAGATGTGTTAAATGAGCTAACCAAGGTGCAAAACAGTCTGCTAGTATTCGTGGGGGGAAAATGAGGGAAGGACACACATACACGTATGCTTATATAAGAATAAAATATCTCTGAAAGAATATTCAAAACATTAGAAACAATAATTATCTCCATAAAAGGAAATGAAGGTTTGGGGGACAGTGTGAAATTCACTTTTCCCCATGGACCGTTTTGTACTGTTTAAATTGTTTAACCATCTAGTTGTAGTTCTATTTCTAAATAAAGAAAATGGGAATTTTATAAGTATGTTTACAATGAAACAAGAAAGATGACACAGGTATACGTGAAACAGTAGGGGAGCAGAAGAGTGCTAAATTCAGAAGTCTCAACTTTGTTGCTCCAGAATCACAAGGTGGTGCTGTGAAGGGAAGTTTCCGTCTTGCTGTAGGGCGTTGTCAATCTCAGGCGATGTGGCTGGAGGGCAGGCAAAAGGAAGCCTCTGGAAAGAACTAGGAAATGCTGCTCCACCTGTGCGTGGGGGTCGAGGTGTCTGTGCAGAGATGGCAGTGGGCAGGAAGGTTGCTGAGATCTGAGTCTGTTTAGCACCCCACACTGTTCTCTTCCTGCCCCTGATTTCCATTGTCTCTTCCAGAAATTTCAACATCCTACTGAGCACAAAGAGAAATAAAAGGGGAACTCTCATTGAGTGATTTGTCACACGCAGGGACCTGAAGAGTCTGGACACTGGCATAACTTTTTTATGGGCAGCTGTACTTTCAATTCCTGGCAGAATGACTCACATTTCTCATAAGTAATGGAATAGTCTATTTTTTTATTTGTTTACAATCTTCAAGATAAACCAAGCCCATTTCTCACAGGCCTGAAACTGTTGATAAAGTTGACTTATCCTTGATGTTTCAAGATGGTAACTCAAGTGGAGAGACTGTGGCTCGTATCTCCAAGGCTACTTAGCTTCTCTGGGCCTTGATTTTCTGATCTCTAAAATGGGAACTAAAACACCTCTCCGTCACTCTCATCATCATTTTTAGCAGCAGCAGGTGGCTAAACCCAAGGGCTGGAGTTGTTAATTTGGCAGCAGCAAGAAGCCCCAGGCCAAAACTGGCTCACTGTCCCCTTGCAGTGTGGCCAGACTGAGCCTTCAGAAAGGCATGAGTGGTAGGGGTGAAGATTCTCACTTTCTGATCCCTTCTGCCCTAGTGGAAGGATCCCTCTGAAGTTTCTATGAATTTTTTTTTTTTTTTAGAGGGAGTCTCGCCATGTCACCCAGATTGGAGTGTAGTGTCACTGGCACAACCTCGGCTCACTGCAACCTCCACCTTTTAGGTTCAAGCAATTCTTGTGCCTCAGCCTCCCAAGTGGTTAGGACTACAGGTGTACATCACCACACCTGGCTAATTTTTGTATTTTTAGTAGAGACAGGGTTTCACCGTGTTGGCCAGACTGGTCTCATACTCCTGGCCTCAAGTAATCTGCCTGCCTCAGCCTTCCAAAGTGCTGGGATTACAGGTGTGAGCCACCATGCCCTGCCTCTAAAGATCTTTTTGAAGGTTCTTCAAATGGTGAAATAGCAGCCTGATCCAATAGAGTGCTGAGCGTCTAATTGTACATTCTGAGTGGAGGAATGCCAGCAGCAATGTGTGCGTTGTGGGTGTCATGGTGAAGATGACTGACTCTGTAGATGAACCCCTTGACTTACACTGATTTGTTAGATACCGGTTTAGGGGCCGGGCACGGTGACTCAAGCCTGTAATCCCGACACTTTGGGAGGCCGAGGCGGGCGGATCACGAGGTGAGGAGATAGAGACCATCCTGGCTAATACGGTGAAACTCCGTCTCTACTAAAAATACAAAAAAAAAAAAAAAATTAGCCTGGCTTAGTGGCCGGTGCCTGTAGTCCCAGCTACTTGGGAGGCTGAGGCAGGAGAATGGCGTGAACCCGGAAGGTGGAGCTTGCAGTGAGCTGAGATCATGCCACTGCACTCCAGCCTGGGCAACAGAGCCAGACTCCGTCTCAAAAAAAAAAAAAGAAGTGTCTTAAGGGAGTTTCCCATGTTTCCCATCTGCAGTTTGCTTCCTGTTCTGGAGAATATATCCAGATCATTATTTTGCAACAGGGATGGCTCAGGGCAATAAAAAGTGAGTCAATACCCCTTATCCTTGCTTTGGCCACACTGATTATATTAATTATAGCCACAGAAATCACCACCAAAAACACAGACAGTTACTAGATTGGAAAAACATACTCTGCCCAAGAGGGCAAAGCTTCCCTGCAAACCTGGCCAAGTATTCAACAAGCCAAAAAATCACCCAATGTGGTGGCTAAATTCCATTAATCAGCACTGAGATGCAAAAAGGATTAAAGAAAAAAGAGAATAGCCCCCACATCCAGCACTCAGTTGAAGATATAAAACAAAACTGATGCATTTGAAGCCCCTGTAATTCCTCCCCATTGGCATGTTCCTCCCTCTCTCCCCAAGCCCCAAGCCCATCCCAGACAACTACTACTCTAAACTCCTCATCACCCCCATACATCTGTATATTTGTACAATATACATATGAATTTATAAGCAACATAAAAGACTCTTATGTGTGTTTTAACATTCTATAAATCATCATATTATATATATTATTTGCTCATCATCATGTTACTGATACATATATTTAAACTGTACGAAATGCCAATATTTGGTTGTTTCTGATCTATAAGAATGGCAATTTCATACGGTTCAACCTAATAATTCTAGCTAATTTTGTTTCACTACTTGATAGTATTCCTTTATACGACTATACCACAATTTATCTATGCTCCTGATAAATCTATAGATTGTATGTGTTGCTTCTTTTTATTTTATTTCTTTGTGCTCTTACAGTGTTGCTCAGAAAACTAACACTCCTCCTTATCTCCTGGTACATGTGCAAAATTTCTTTTGGGGCCAGGCGTGGTGTCTTACGCCTATAATTTCAATATTTTGGGAGGCTGAGACAGGAAGATTGCTTGAGGCCAGTTCAAGACCTTCCTGCACAATGTAACAAGACCCTGTCTCTACAAAACAATGTTTTTAAGTTTATTTTGGGACATAGATCCAAAAATAGATTTGCTAGATTTTACTCTGTGCAAATTTCCAACATTTATAAATATTGCAAATTGCTCTCTAAAATGATTGTGTCAATTTACATTTCCTAGATCTATGTAACAGAGTTCCCTTCACTCCGTATCTTCACCCATACTTAGTACTGACAGAGTTTTAAATATTGATAATATGATGGACATAAAATGCTATCTCACTGTGGCTGTATTTTTCAAATTCTCTGATGACCAAAGAGAATGGTTATGTTTTCAGATGTTTATTGCTCATTGGTATTTCCTTTTAATTACTGGTTCATATTTTTTGCTCATCTTTGAACTAGTTTATATGTTTACCCATCTAGATTGGATTGTTTAATATGTTATGGATTGGTAGAATATTATATATATAGTATACGTATGCACATCTCCTTTATCAGTTATACAACATGGCAGATATCATTTCCCAGTTTGTGGTTCATCCTTCAGGTTTTGTTTTTGTTTTTGTTTTGAGACAAAGTCTCGCTCTGTCACCCAGGCTGGAGTGCAGTGGCATGATCTTGGCTCACTGCAACCTCCACCTCCCAGAGTCAAGTAATCCTCATGCCCCAGCCTCCCGTGTAGCTAACATCACAGGTGCGTGCCACCATGCCCAGCTAATTTTTTTTAGTAGAGACAGGTTTCACCAAGTTGACCAGGCTAGTCTTGAACTCCTGACCTCAAGTGATCCGCTCGCCTCAGCCTCCCAAAGTGCTGGGATTACAGGCATGAGCCACCGCACCCCAGCCTCATCCTTCAATTTTTTAATGTTGTTTTTGGTGTTTTAAAAGTCAAGAAGCAAGTGTTTCTTCTTAAATTCACAAATGACAGTTCCCATAGTGGGTTATCAAGGGAAAAGGTGGGGCTTCTCAGGAAATATCTCTAACCCTTTAGGTTGAGATCATAGAGAATTCTATGATCAGTAAAACAGACCGAGAGTGCAAAAGAGTGATACAACCAGGGAAATGTCACAGCATTGCCGAAACTCCTGAAAGCTCATTGGAGGTTTGTGGTCATTGGTTTGAAACAAGACCTGTCTGCAACATGGAAGGTTTTTACCCCAGCCACATCCTGGAATTCCAGTACAAATTTGGAGGACACGGATTTATGCGATTAGCCAGAGTTGGGATTCTGCCACCTCAGTGGAACTGAGGGAAAGGCAAGGGTGCTGGTGCGTACAGGAGACTTTAACAAAGACATGTGGACTCTAAGCTGCGTGAAGAGTGAGTAGGGGGTGGTGCTGATATTGGGAAGACGATGGATAGGGTCAATCAACCTAACTGGAAGCCCCGGTGGCACTGAAGATCCTTGAAGGGAAGGTCCCAGAAGAAGCAAGATGGAATGATGTGAGGTGGATGTCAGAGAGGGACATGCTTGGAACTGAACCGTGAGTGAAAGTACAGATGGTAGTAATGACAGAGTTTACTGGATGCATGATTGAGGGGACATGGAGGATACACTCATTGAAACAGCGTGGGGAAAACCTGGGACAAACGCAGAGTGAATAATGGGAAAATACATAGCAAAATGGAATTATAAATAAATATCCTTTTTTCTTTTTTTTTTTTTTTTTTTTTGAGACGGAGTCTTGCTCTGTAGCCCAGGCTGGAGTGCAGTGGCCAGATCTCAGCTCACTGCAAGCTCCGCCTCCCGGGTTTGCGCCATTCTCCTGCCTCAGCCTCCCCAGTAGCTGGGACTACAGGCGCCCGCCACCTCGCCCGGCTGGTTTTTTGTATTTTTAGTAGAGACGGGGTTTCACCGTGTTAGCCAGGATGGTCTCGATCTCCTGACCTCGTGATCCGCCCGTCTCGGCCTCCCAAAGTGCTGGGATTACAGGCTTGAGCCACCGCGCCCGGCCTAAATATCCTTTTTTCTTTGTGTGTTTTTGTATTTCCCAAATATTTCATAATGAACATACATTACTATGTAATCAGAAAAAAGTTATAAAATAAAATTCCTTTATTTATTAGTAAGTCCATTTCTACTATTTACAAGTACTCAGCTCAAAATCTCACAAAGTTATTTCCATTCTAGAATTTCACCAGTATCTCCCAGCCATTTTACAGAATCACTTAAAATGAGACCTAAGTAGACATATAAGTTTCACAGCATAAGTTCTTTCTTTCGAGAAATACCTATCTGAAATATGTATGTAGAAGTGGGGAGGACTGGGTATACAGTGGACAGAATTGGGGGCAAAACTCTTCTTGAACACCTTTCATATATTTTCTTATCTGCAAACCATACAAAGGCTTTATAAAAAAATCATTACCTTACTGCAAAATTACTGTAAAAAGTAAAACGGTAGTATAACTTATAAAAGAATTTTAATTGAAAAAGTCTTGTTCAGGTAGAAAAGGCGAAGATTTTGCCAAAGTCTAGGTGAGGAAAAAGAACAGCTGTTTGCATTACCAAGTAGGAGTAAATCGTTAACAAACAACAGAATTCACCTCTAGTGCTTTTTTAAAGGGATTCAATTTTTGTATGTATTAAGAAGTCCCATTTGTGGGCCTGCCCGTGGTGCTCACAAGCCGGTACAGCCAGCACGTTGGGCGAGGAGCGAGACGGGCATCACACAGGCGGGTCAGGAGATGGCAGACCAGTCCGGCTAACACCGGTGAAAACCCGTCTCTACTAAAGAGTTACAAAAAACTAGCGG